AAAATGGGTTGTTGGCGCTTTAAAAAACGTTAAGGGAAAAAAATAATGCTCTCATTGTGTCCTTATTTTTCCAGGGGGGGGGGGGGTCAAATGTCTTCTGTACTAATCTCTTAATGTTAAACTTGGCATATCAAATTTACTTATTTTAAAACATTTCTTTTCAGACTGGGTTTCATATTCCATGCCCTAACTGTTAACTGAATTTCGGATCCTTCTGTTAGTTATTGATGGCTGAATACAAAAATGGACGGAAAATAATTACTGGTATTAGATGAAATAAAATCAACAACTGCAGGAGTTCAGTTTTTTCTGAAGGCTGATCCTATTCTGAAGACTGATCCAATTCTGAAGGCTAGTCCAATTCCGAAGGCTGGTCCAATTCTGAAAGCTGATCCAATTCTGAAGAGTTTCTTTTTAAGGATTTCGTTTCTGCTTGCCCAGGCCAACACAGAACAGTGACGCAATAAAAATGCTGGAGCATCTGCTGAAGGTGGTCATCATAGGGGACATGAATGTTGGCAAAACCGCACTGCTCATCAATTACGTGGATGGCAGTTTTAGTGAAAAATACCAGAATACCATTGGCGTGGACTTCAGGGTGAAGGAGCTGGCCAGGAATGACTGTATCGCCACCATGCAGCTCTGGGACACGGCAGGTCAAGACAGGTATAAAACCTCTTATAAAGTTTGTACAGCAATTTCGATATTATTATATTAATATATATAACTATTTACATTACGATGTTATTGCAGAGAGGTAGATACTTATCAATTTGTCTAATTGTTATTGGAGAAACATCAAACACAATCATCGACAATCTAACGAATTTTAAACGCCCATTTCCATGATTTACATATGTAACCGCGTGGTGGCGTGGCTTACTGTTTAAATTAAAAAAACACCAAATGACATGCAGGTCTGAGAGCTATGACGTTTATTTGTGTGGTACAAGCCGTTGAACAGGCAGTCCAATCTCTCACACGTGCAGCCGACTGGCAGGATCCGTTACACATCAAGTACCAGTCGCAGGTGACCACCACATCCCAGCCAAAAAAAAAAAGCCAGGGGTTAAAATCCCAGCAGCCCTAAGTAGCCACTCTGACGTCACCGTCATGAGCTGGTCACCGGTCACCCGTGGGACATACATGCCCAGCTCAGTGGGCGTGAACAGGCCCTGGGGGTAAACAATGCCACCACCACAGGAGCGTGCATGGTTGCCCCATAGGTGGCACACTGCCACACATAAAATGTTACATAAATGCCCAGCTCAGTGGGTGTGAACAGGCCCTGGGGGTAAACAATGCCACCACCATAGGAGCGTGCATGGTTGCCCCATAGGTGGCACACTGCCACACATAAAATGTTACATAAATGCCCAGCTCAGTGGGTGTGAACAGGCCCTGGGGTAAACAATGCCACCACCACAGGAGCGTGCATGGTTGCCCCATAGGTGGCACACTGCCACACATAAAATGTTACATAAATGCCCAGCTCAGTGGGTGTGAACAGGCCCTGGGGTAAACAATGCCACCACCACAGGAGCGTGCATGGTTGCCCCATAGGTGGCACACTGCCACACATAAAATGTTACATAAATGCCCAGCTCAGTGGGTGTGAACAGGCCCTGGGGTAAACAATGCCACCACCACAGGAGCGTGCATGGTTGCCCCATAGGTGGCACACTGCCACACATAAAATGTTACATAAATGCCCAGCTCAGTGGGTGTGAACAGGCCCTGGGGTAAACAATGCCACCACCACAGGAGCGTGCATNATTCAAGACAACGATATTTTTGTTTTCATGCTTTAAAGTTTAAAGTTTCAAGTCATACAAGTTTGAACTCTTTCCTAGGTTTTTCAAAAAACAATTTTTTTTCATATGGTTATTTTTGCTCGATGTCTAACAGTCCTATTTAGGACTCCAAGTTCTAACAACAACAACAACAACAACAACACCAACATCTGTGACAAAATCCTTGACAACAGTTTGATCTGTTACGTGTATGATGTCACTATGCTATCGCAAGAGTTGAGGTACAGATACCGACTGTTGTTGTGTGCAAGCTTGAAACAAGTAAGTGGCAAACCAGCATTATGTCACATTTGTGAGGTGAGATAACGGGCCGTTCCCTTCATTTTCATGACACGCATGGAGTCGTAATTTACATCGGACTGACGTCAGTCTATTATCTTTATGACGCTCGCCGATATTCCGTTTGGGACAGTTCAGGTAGGCCCGCTTCCGCTTTCATCCCAGCAGACGACAGTTGCACCGGTCGCGTGGAGGTCACTACCAGACAAAAGTTATGCAAATGTGTAAGAGAAAAATGGAAGTCTTGATGTGTCTGAAGCAGTGCACTTGCTAACCTCGGTGTACTTGCTAACCTCTGGCTCAGGACTGACCTAAAAAAAAATACTCATTTTGTACAAGTGGAGCCGGAGTTTAAGTAGTATGGGGAGCAGTGTGCTGTCAACCAAACAAGAAGTTTTATACATATATATATATATATATATAAATATAAAGAGCAAGTTTCACCAACCAATCTAACAATTTCAGGCTAATTTGAGGCTAATTTGTCCCCATGTTGTACTCGTGTCTCTTCCAGCCCAAGAGTTCGCCGACCAGCATCACATGCTGTATGTGGAGACCAGCGCCAAGACGTCCGCCAACGTGCACCTGGTGTTCGACGCGATGGCCGACAGGATCATCAGAATGAAGACGGAGTACGGCACGGTGAACCTGGCCGACACCGAGATGAGCAGGTCCTTCCGGCTGGAGTCCAAAGACGCGCAGCAGGCCGACTGGTGCTATGGATACGGCGGGTACTGCTACTGATCCACCCCGGGTGAAATCGGTGGATAGCGATGTGGCGATCCATCAAGTGGAAGCATTACAATAATCATGATTATATTAAACAGATTCTTTCATCACAAAAGAAAAAAAAAAAAAAGATGGAGGAGGGTCACGAATATAAGTTCCAGGGAAGCATTTAAAAAAAAAATCTAAACAGTAAAGTGGGGTGGGGATGGGCGTAAATAAGGGATTAACTCCATGAACACGGGCATTTCGATACGACATGAAAGCCGCATCACAATTGACACGACTTTCATAACCATTCGCCCCTTCCACTAATCTCCTCATTATCTTTACATTACATCTATTTAACGGCATTCCACTACTCCACGTTCCCATGCATATAGCTGATTCCAGTAGTGCTACTTTTTTTTTTTCTAAACGAAACTGAGACAGCCTCATGATTTTTGAAGCCCTTAAACTGAACTAATGCAGTAAATCAGAATAATGATAATGAAAATACTGACAGCAACTTGGGGACAATGTCTTTCGATGAACCTGGGACACGACATTCAACTAGCCAAATGTAGCAATGAAACGATGCGACTCGGTTTGATGCTATCTAAACAAATGAATGGGGACTGGGCTGACTGAGCACTTTTCTTGGTCTTAATATATATCGTTTTAATTTTTTTTATTTTTTTAAACTTTGAAGAGTGTCCGATGAAACACATCCGCATTTATATGTTAAATGTTATGAAACACCACCATCATTCCTTGATTTGACAAAATATGTTAACGTATTTATGACATGAACTTGTCAAAGTTCTGAATTATTATCTTTTCTTATTGTGTTGTAGATATATATATATATTCAATATATTTATATGGGACCAAATATTAATTTATGCAGTGGCGTCACTATAAGGAGGGTCGCGGGGGGGGGGGCGGGCCGCAGCTTATTTCAAGATGAACACATGGACACGCAAAGCAGATGCATATTTTCTAACATTAGAAACTGAGAAATTTTTTTACTAATGTCCTAGCCAATCATGTGACGTTTGTCTAGGATTTAAAGTCCAGGAGGTGTTTGGAATCCTTTTCGACCACAAACCGGACATATGCCACTCTGATCAATGTCTCTTTTTAATGATGATCAGAAATATGAGAATTTTGAATAGAAAATTTGATATGAAAATAGTGTTCCTATGATTTTTCCTCCCATCTTACTAAGGCTTAAAAGCTGATAATTTAAAGTCTTA